CAGCAGTTATTTGAGGTTAGTGAAATATTATGGTTCACAGTGACTTGAGACATAGTGCATTTATTTACATTTCATTAAACAAAATGCTTTAATCTCCTAAACCTAACAGCAGAGAGGAGAGCTTGGATGCAACAAGCACAGGGCAAAAGACTGAAATGCATACAGACTAAGTTTGAAACTGAACGGGTCATTTATTTTAAACTGACAGCCCTACTAATTTTCACTGGTTTTAAATACATGCTATAAGGATTTACAAGAAGTGATGCATGCACACGATGGACATAATATGAACAATAAAAGCTGGTGCATTTAAGCAACGTGTTGGTCAGCATTTTCACTGCAAATCCTCACACTGTAAACATGCACACAAGTAACCTTTCTTCTGTAGTATTTCTCAATGAGTAGCAAGGTATGGTGCTGCCCCCAGTGGTCAAGACAGGTCATTTTGAATGTAACAATAACAAACTATTAGAAGCTTCTGAACATGATGAGACACTCTTTTCCCTCATGTTCTCAGTCATTTAAATGCTATTTGGGAAACTCCACCCAGGCCATCCTATGTCTTTTACTCAAAGTATCTTCTGTCTGACCCCTCTAATAAAACTGCCTGATAGATGCAGAGCTGCTGAGATGGCTGTCATTCCAGCAGGGTCTCCATCTCTGCAGAGGACTTCTGAAGCTCTGCTGGAGTGACCCCTGGCTTCTTGTTCACCCCCCTTTCACCACCTCTTGGCTCTATGAGGAATCCTAGTTGTTCCCAAGATTTTCATTTCACAATGATTGAAACCTCTGTGCTCCTGGGAACATGTAGACTGTTGTAATGCTTAATACACTTGTCCTGATCTATGCCTCGCCACATTTTTATCCTAGAGGTCTGCAAAGCAGGTCGTGGTTTTTGTCCTGACATGCAGTGTGGGATCTCGTGCCCACAGGTGGGTGCCTTTCTAAACCATGTCCAGTCCGTTCAGTTCACCACAGGTCGACTTCTGTCAAGTTATAGAAACATCTCAGGAAAAATTAAAACAAACCTGATGCACCTGAATACTTAGTATGAAAAATATGTAAATGAGAAATATTAGTTTTTATTTTTAATGTTTTCAAATTTGTCTAAAAACATGTTTTTGGGAGAAATATATTGATTATTTTGTAGTTCATGTTAAAACTTTTTCATATTCTGTTGTTGTTTTTTTTAACTTTTAAGAAAATATAAAGTTGTTAGCAGACGGTTTAATGTTTATTGGTAGATTATTTAGTTAGTGTCTTTGTCCACCCCTGTGTGTGTTACTGGTTTGTTCCCATCTGGGTCATTGGTCAGGTCAGTTTGTCTTTGGTTGAGGTATTGTGCAGTTCTGTTACAGTTCAGCTTGCCATATTCCACATTGCTAACATGTAGCAGTTTCTACTTACACTATTTAACTCTTGGCTCTTTATGAAAGAAGTCTCATTACGTCCCTTTCCTGTTTTGTGGGGACAATAGTCTTTACTAAGCATTTTACAGTTGTACAAATTATAATGACTTTGGCAACTTTTAAAGTGCACTGTGTTGTCCAAGTCCTCTGTTGACCAGCAGACAAGGCAGGATTACCAACCAGTCAAAACCCAAAGGCCACAGAGCACCAGGGGACCCAGTCAATCAAATGAAATCAAATCAAATTTCATTTGTATAGCACCAAATCACAACCAAAGTCATCTCAGGACACTTTACAAATTAAGGTCTAGACCTTACTGTTATCACTATTATTATAGAGGGAAAACCCAACAAATCCCCCTCGAGCAGCACTTGGCGACAGTGGGGAGGAAAAACTCCCTTTAACGGAAGAAACCTCTGACAGACCCCGGCTCTTGGTGGGTGGCCTTCTGCCTCAACCAGTTGGGGTGGCATTACTTAATAGCAGTAGGTTTGTAGTTATTTAACCTATGATTTGTTTTATAGTATGGGAATATGTTTAATTAACTGGCATAGCCACAACATGGGTCCTTCTTTATTATCCAATGTCTGAACCCCTGTCTTGAATAGGAATCCTGTGGGAAACGTAGTTATAAGCCATTATAGTGTTTTGGCAAGTGCTGTGCTTGAATGGTGCAAATTCATACATTTGTCATGTTTCATTATGCAAAATACAAATGGGAAGGAGTGGGAGCAGACAAATTGGGGTCTAGCAGCTTATATGTAACAGACTTAACAGTCAGTTCCTTTCACGTGGCAGGACACTATATCTGGGAAAGTTTAGGGCAAGCAAATATTGCTCTTCCCAGACATGGTCACATTCTATTGAGCCTCTCATCCAACATTTACTGTATAAACTCAAACAAACAACCAAAAAAGCGCAACTGAGTCCTTTTATTTGTGTGTTTATTTTTTAAGTATTGCTGAGGTTCACAAGGCCCAGAAACAAGCTAATGGGTCAATAACTAGCCAAGGTTAAGTGTACTGAATCTGTAGCATCAGGGCATTGGTACCTGAAACTGATATGGCTTATTTAGTAGTTAAAAATTCAGCAACAGACAACAATAGAAATCTGAAAATAAAACCACAAAGAACAGGTAAATAATAATTAGAACTACCATAACTACAGTGGCACTATACTTGTCTTATACATAAGAACAAAATTTTTATCCAAACAAGTTGGACATACAGAACTTACTGCTGCAATGCATCACTGTTATACAGAATAATTCACCCACTAATATTCATTCTGTGCTGCAGCTATATAATTAACTGACTGGTGGAGCAGAGATGGGTGACATGAGCCAACATATCCACAATTGCTTGATTCAAAAATGGATGTTCAATTGAGAATAAACTCAACCTTCTTCTTAATATGAGACGTTATCTACATCAAAGTCTCTTCCAGTATTTTGTCACTTGAAATAGTCTGGTTAGGACCAGGGAGCAATCCATTGCCCGGGAAGGCCCTTGGTGCATCATGGTAATAAAGAACGTAGAAGGCCAAACCCTTGTGCTTTTAAAATAGATTCACCAAAACTAATTTTAGTATAATAGCTTGGAAATGACACAGAGGAACTGACGAGGGTTTTTAGTGGCAGATGGAGTTTCCTCATACCATGAAATTTGTATACTTGGCAACTAAGAAAACAATTCTTGCTGGTACATTGAGCAGCCTTCCGGTTTTCACAGAGAAAATGACGCCGGGAGGGTGAGAGAGTGTGAAGCCTCTTTAATTGCCTTTGGTCACCCACAACGTTGAACCGGAGCGCCACGCGGCTTAGCAAAGGAACCGGGTAGAGGGCCTGATAGATATTTTATTGCTAAAGTTAACGGTTAATGAATTCCCAGAGTGAAATCTGTCACTTCAAAAATAAAGAGGAAGGCAAATTAAAGGGAGATAGAGAGAGACAGGGGAAGAAAGGAACTGGAGAGGGTGACACAGTTTTAAAATGCCCTATCTTTTGGCCATCCCCGGTTTTCAATGGAATAAAGAAAACTCAGCCTCTTTCTTCTCTTCTTTTCTTCCCCTGCTTCTTTTTTCTCCCTCCCATCCTCCTATCTCTCACTCCGTTTTCACTGAAAAATTCTCATGAATGATTTATATGTGTCTTGTTATCAGCCACAATTTCTATAGACCCCAACGCATTCACCAAGACATTTGTGGCGTAATTGTTAATTTTAATGCCATAATGGTTTCAGATGGGAGCTCTGATTAGACATTTATTACACAATTAAATGAAACATACTCAAGAATCACAAAAGCCTTCCGTAATTATTTCAGGCCATTAATAAAATGGGCATTAAATTATATTGGACACAAAAGAGAAGTGAAATAGATTTCCATTAGAGCAATCGAGGCAGAGAGGGGTAATAGATCCTGCCTGAATTCATTCTGAAATTAATTGTTGCCCAGCCTATTTCCACACATAGTGGAATAAATGAATGAGAAAAGAGAGGAAGAGAAGAACGAGTTGGTGGCCGCGAGAGTGAGGGGAGGGGGCTACATTAAGAGCCTCTGATAAAAAATAAAAAACCCTTTTGTTTGACATACTACAATGGACCTTCAATTCATGCCCGAGAGAGGGAGAAAGAGAGAGAGAGAGAGAGAGAGAGAGAGAGAGAGAGAGAGAGAGAGAGTCAGACTAATTTCAATCTTAGTCCACTCCTTCCGAGTTCTGAGTCGAGGTTATATCTGCTTTTCAAGTTTTGTGTGCTTTTGAACAGCATCCAAAGATCTACCTGTGAATGCACACATCTAAATATACTTATTAGGAAAGAATGTGCAGGTCATGACCAGGGAAAGACAACTGTTCTTTAAGTGAAATAATTCATTTGACAGCAATTCAATCTTTTCTTTGATTAATAAATGACCTGCTGTGTCCAAAGCAAACTCTTTGACACTAAGTCACCTTCTAGCTGTCAGATAAATTGAGGTCAAGCTCAACAGACTAATAAATAGCTGTGATTCAATCAAAGTCTTTATCCTTCAGGGAAAAGGTCAGAATTTTATTATTTTATAGTACAACAGTCAGTGAAGATTCACATAAGTTTCTTTTGAATAATACAGTTATGGTGATTAAATCCTGCAAGGATCCGAGTACAAATCTATACCTTATACTTTGTTCATTATGTTGTTCCTTATGCTATCGTATGTAACAAACAAAAATAATTTATATAGCCCACTATCACAACTCACATCTCAAGGGGCTTTACAATTCTTTTCATATGTTGTGAATGAAAAATGAGCACTTGCAATGAAAGAAAAGTTATTTTCCCCATTTTAGTGACATTACGACAGTTAAAATATATAAAATATATGGCAAATACTTTCTAAACCCGTTTCCAGCGGGGACTCTAAATTGAACTGTCTTTTGAACCAGCGGTCTCTTGAGATCTTCTAGTGTAAAAAAAGGAAACTGATACTGTGTCTCACAAGGCTAACACAGATCATTCAGCAAAATTAATTAATCATTCACTGATACCAATTTAGTCTGTCTGGCTTCAAAAGCCGTTAAATTCTGTAACTGTCTTTGTTTTCATTGCTGTTGGTTTTGATTTTATAATACCTACTGTCAGTGCTGGGGAGGCTACTGAGAAAGCATAGCTTTGCAAGCTACCACTGACTTCACACTGGAAGGTGTTACCTACCCTACCCTGGAGAGAAACCTAGTTTGGTTAAACTACAGCTATTTAGACAAAGTAGTTCAAACTATGTTGTAAAAAAAGAATGAACAAATTGACAATGTGCATATGAGACAAAATTCTAATAAAATAAACAAAAAATCCACATTACAGAAAAAAATGCAGCCCAGTTGATCTTCTTACCTGAGACCTAATCTGTCCTAAATAAAACAGTCCTATGGGCTTTTCACAAGGACAACACTGCAAGGAAGGCTATATTTTTGATGTAAACAAATCTGAATTTTGTCTTATATGATTAAAAAAAGTACATAAATAAAAACATCACTTGCACCTTCTTAGTCCATTTGACCAACTTGAGCACTGGTCTAAAAAAAAGTCTGTCTTGTCCGTTTTGTAACAGCTGTAAGATTGTAACAGTCTTACCAACTAAAACAGTCTTCAACTTGCAGTATTTCAGACAGTGTGAACAGCTTGAATACTGGTCTAAAGTAATGGTCCTCTGTGTACTAGTCAAAGCAGAATCTCTTCTTTAAACTACACATGAGCAGCCTTTCAAAGTTCTTATCCAACAGGACATTCTGTGTGACACTGAACATGTCCTTACCAATGATGCTCACATACATAAAATAAAAAGAAAGAACATGACTCCTTTTCCCTTATGGCTCAAAATTGTTTATAGTCTGAATGGTTAACTACACAAACAATGGGAAAAGTATTTTAACTACCCAAATAACTATGCAAATATGAACATAGTTGAACTACCAGCAAGCTACTGCAAAATGTAGTTAACCTGCTAGTTTGATTACATGTCGATCACTGCTCCCCAACAATACCTACTGTAGAGTCCAGCTTAAATTTCACAAGCAGCTGTTTGTCCACTGAAGGTTTCCCCACTTTGTTATTCACCATGCAAAAGCCTGTAAGCAAAACAGACAGGAAATATGCAAGAGAGGGTTGATTGATGAGTGTAATTGTGAGACATTCAAGAGTAGTGCTGTGGAATATTGATTTTCAGTCTTAGGTTTGAATTCATCACCTGACTCATAAGAGCATTTCACCAACATCTTGAGGTGAGGATCTCAGACTGAGCAGAGGCACTGGCAATGGTGAGAGAGAGAAAAGAGAAGTTGGGTAAATAGAAAGCTATTCACAATGCCAAAATAAATATAGGATGCTTTTGTATGTAGCTCTATTGGAATCATAGCTATCAACCTATCCAGTTATACTTATGATGTGGTTTTCATTTGGCTCTTGACTCACAGTTGACCAACAAAATGGACATTCGACCACTTCTGTTTTACCTCTGGGTAGTTAAACTGGCATAAAACCCCAAAACCAATTAATCAAAATGTTATATATCACAATGCTTTATGTTCAATTTTTTCAAAAAAATTCAATTTAATATTTTTTTTTACAAACATTGCAAAGGACTGACTGAGTCTGAATGTTGGTGCTGGGCATGTGCTCCCAGCAGACAAATTACATCCACTAGTGAGATATGGCTTCAGGCTGTGAGAGGTAATGAGTGAATATAAATGTGTCATTGGTGATATTGTGAATATTTTATTTTCAAAGTTATAAAACTGTTATTATTTAATTGGAGAATTTTCCTCACGTACACAATAATATAAGTAATAGTGAATAACATTAGTTGTGAACATCATCATCATCTTGTTAGCCAGTAAAATAATTTATTATAGCATCGAGATCAGAGAAACACCTGGCGGGATCCCCTATAACGCCCCTCTGGGCAGGTCATATATAGTTGTGGGTTTGGCAGGGATTGTGTGCGTTCGGTGTGTGTTCTGTTGCTCGGCTGGAAGAAGGAGTGAAGCCATAAACCAAAGCAGATGTCCCAGTAGCTGTGTTGAGATTGCCAGCCACCCCACTGTCAGCGAGAGCACACCAAAACAAGACCGCTGATGGAGCCAGCGAGGCCCGCCAGGAAGGAAGAGCAGCATTGGAGCACCAGCACTACAGCTTCAACCAGACCACAGCATGGGGCCAGGAGCCAGCCATCCAGGAGTGGTGAAGCTGCCGCACTACAGCAGGGAAAGCTGCTAGAGATGTACCTCATCCAAGTGCCCATGGCAGTGCGAGTGAATGGTTGGTTGACTGAGGAGAAAGCCGACTGGGTTGTCCTCGCCCTGGAGGGCAGGGCTCCACAGACCTTCACTGACGTGACTAGTCACCCATAGAGAGGGCACTGGAGCAGAGGTTTGGTTGATGTGTCTACACCAATGAAGTCTGGCACTAAGCTGGCTAGTTGACAATGTGGGGAAGGAGAGAACCTGGGCGCCTATGCAGAAGACATCTGCCTCTGTGCTCACCGTGGGTATCCAACTGCCGACAGCTCGATGCTGTTCATCCTTCATGCCTTTGTTTGGGGATTGCAGCCACTATGGCTCTGAGAGCACCTGCACCTCTGCACACCACCCACCCTGATGGTGGCCCTGACCCTAACACCTAACCCTGAAACATCAAGTGCAGCAGGTGGACCCAGAAGGAACCAACAAGGAGGAGGAGGCAGGCTGCCAGGTCGCCGCTACAGCAGTGAGCATGATGAGGAAACCGAAGAACAACTGTGCAATGCTGAGAGAAGTGCTCCTGCTCTGGGGAGCTGGGCCACATCACTTGGCACCTCCATCATGGAGCCCAGCACCCCTAGACATGTGGCCTGTCACAGCTAAGGGTCAGCCATCTGGGCTGGACACATGGCTTGTACCTGGACTGTGAGCTGAATGGCACCAAAGGTGGACTGGGGTCCATCTCCCTGGTGCACCCAGGGACACTGCCAGGGACAGAAGGGCCACAACCCCACAAGTGGAGGGCCAGCAACCATTGCACCACCTCAGTCAAAGGTGAGAGTGCAAAGATGTGGGAAGGTAGGACGCTCAAAGTGACTGTTGCTGGCTGCACCATTGATTATCAATTTGGACTGGCCAGCATTCAAGATCCATACATCATCGGTCTTGACCTGCTGGTGGAGTGAGGGGCCATGATAATAAATAATAATAATAAAACTTTATTTATATAGCACTTTACAACTCCAAGGAGCACAGAGTGCTGCACAATAGAACACGTGTAGCAAATAGAAAACATCACTGAAACAATACAACCTAAACAGAATAAAACACAAATTTACAAAACAGGAGCAATAAAAAACTTCCATATCAAGATACAAATAGCAGAAGTTCTAACGGTAAAAATTCCAGAGTCTAGGGCCATACACAGCAAAAGAGCGGTCGCCCCATTTTTTATATCGAGATCATGCGACAACCATGGACAGGTGCTCTGAAGAGCGCACAGCTCTGTGTGGAGCACAGATAGATAGCAGATCTGACAGGTACGGCGGAGCGAGGCCATTCATAGCCTTAAAAACAAATAGCAGCATCTTAAAATCAACTCTAAACTGTACTGGCAACCAGTGTAGTGAGAGAAGAACGGGGGTGATGTGGGCATACCTGGGAGTGTTTGACAGCAGCCGAGCCGCAGCGTATTGGACCAGTTGAAGCTTCTGAAGAAGAGACTGGGAAATTCCAACATAGAGGGCATTGCAGTAGTCAAGTCGCGAGGTGATAAATAGCTTTTTCTAAATCTGCACACGACAAGAAGGGCTTCACCTTCGTTAAAAGTCTCAGATGAAAAAAGCTGGTTTTAACCACGTCCCTGATCTTCTTATCAAAATTGAGACCGCTATCAAATATCACTCCAAGGTTTTTTGATGATGGATGATAGATGTGCCTGGGGCTGCTCCCTGTCGGCATTCAGATGCTCTGGCTCTCCACACTGCTGGTAGAGAAGGGCTGTGCCTAACCGTGACACTGAAGTGGCCAGCCACAGAGTCATCTACACCACCAGGGCCAGCCAGAGGCTTGTCCATGCCTATACCATTTTCCAGGGCAGTGTGCACTGAGACCAGATGAGCCAGCAAGGGCTCATATGAGAGGAGCTACAGAAGGAGGAAGCGCCAGTGTGGTTGGTGCCCCATGGACCAAGACACTGGACCTGTTACCGAGCAGCAGGACCAGGTGGGGGCACTGATGTAGTGCCTCACCAGATGCGGGTCCAAGATGCTCGTAGTCCATGAGTGAACTTTATCCCTAGTGTACAGCCCTGAATGGAAGAAGTGCTTGTCCCCACAGTCAGTGAGCCAAAGGAGCTGACCCTGTACTGTGCTGAAAAGACTACTGGACAGAAAGACTGAATAAACAAAGCTGAATTGTGCTTCACAGGGACTGACTCGCACCATACTGGCCCTTGGCTTCACCTGAGGGGGGAGAGCTAGACAGTGGAAGCCAGCCGAGAGCTCCAGACCCCTGTCCTCCAGCTGCCCAGGAGTCACCAGAGTGGCCTCAGCACCAGCGCAGGCTCCCCCAATTCTTAAGGGGCCTTGTTATGACTCTGGTTAGTGAGGACAGTTAACCAGCCAGGAGGGGGTTGTGTAGCATTGGGGGTAGAAAGACACTTGGAATGCCCATAATGCCCCTCTGGTCAGGCTGTATATAGTTGTGGGTTGGCAAGATTGCTGTGTGTGTGTTCTGCTGCTTTGCGGTTGCACCTGTGTGTGGCAATAAAATGAGAAAATGACAGGCTCTGGTCTCCAGCCTTTCTTGACCCAGCCAATGTTACAGTATAAATATATACAGTAAATAGCTGTGTGCCAGATGAACACTGACTACTTGTGGGTAAGCATGAATATGGTCCAGTCCAATGTGCCAAAAATGTTGTGAACAGAAGAGCCATCTGTGTTCCTGTTGGTCAGCATCGGGTCACCACATTGTGGAAGATGAAAGAAATTATATAAAACTATACGAGATAAAATGATCGATTGTCATATCTGACATTGTTTGTCACTTCCGATGCCCTAGGACCGCCTGGTCAGGCTGTTATAGGGTTTAAATTGTGTAGTCTGAACCGGGTATTAGGATGGTTTATTCTCCAAAGCAGAGGGGTGGCCATAGGTTGTTCAGGATCTGGGAGCATTCTTTGGAACCTCTAGTCCAGTGGGTATTGGAAGCCCCCTCCATAGCACTGCAATCTCAGAAGGCAGTAGACAGTATAGGTCAGTGACAATCAATGAGGCATGGTGACAGTAACACAAGCCTTCTGACAACAGTGCAACTGCTTTTGTTCTCAGGTATTGCAACACCTTTTTCCAAAACTGACTAATGAACACCAAAGCAAACATTGTCTCATAGCCACTTCTTTCTCCAAGGAAGACAGGTGGTTGATGACCCAGAAAATAGTGAGGGGGGCCATGGAGGAACACAAACGGAAGATGTGAGAGCGGTCAGATACCAGAGTTGACTGCTCCAAATCATGGATTCTCTGACACCAGGAAGTCATTTTTGACATCCCTCATCTATCTACTGGACTGGGGACAATTTTGAGGTTATTAGTGGAAGATTACACAACCAAGACTTGAACTCGGGGTCTGTGCGGCACAAAATCTTCTGGAGAAGACCTTGCAGTCAGAAGATGTGTTTGATGATGGGTTGATTGGCTATATTATCAGGAGGAAGCTTAGGGTGTCATCTTCCAGCCAGGCTAACAGAGGCAATGTGGAATGGTGATGGTGACAGAGGCAGAGACATTTGTCTCCATGGGATACCTTCAGCATAGCTGCTGTTGGAAAATGTGGAATGGACAATAGGATGATAGGTAAGTGTTGAGGAGTGGGTACATTGGAGGACATGAACTAAATATCAACTCAGCTTGATAGCATAGTCTAGGAAAATGTATACTTTGTGTTGCTTCTAGAGTTATCAGACTGGTGGGATACACATAAGTCCTCAGATTCCTGGATACTGTAAAATTAAGGAAAGGACAGCCCTGCTGGCTCACCCATGCTTTGTTTACTTTGGGCACTGATAAAGTATTGTACCTACATGCAGTTGGTTTGTCAAGTGCTGCTTCAGTTTATCAGTAAATGGTTCATCACCTCAATAATGGCAAGTCATTTATTGACTGGATTATTTAAGCGCTATCACTGCAGAAGTTGTTGGAGTGGACAACATCAATGTGTCAACTTAATGAGGTGTTGAGACCTCTGAAAGAGTTATACTAAATGTTATGCTACCGTCACAAAGAGGGCTTGGTAAATATCAGAAGCAGTGCTAAGTTCCCAGGATGGTAAACTGTTTATTTCCTAACAGTATAATTATGAGTTAACAACAAGCTTATCATGAATGGCATGTAACTGTGGTTGAAATCAATCCAATCTATTAAAACAACAATCATTACAATGTTTGTATATCATTTACATATAGAGAATGTGAAGTGGTCGTCATGCTCTGTTGAATTTTGAGTAATTGTGCCATTTTGGGTGCTCACGCTCATTGTCCATCATAGATATATAACTACAAACATCTATATGTTAGTTTTAAAAAAGTACTATTCGATACAGCTACATGCAGTAATGGATGCTTCAGCTACATCCAGACATCCACCCTAGTGTTCAGTTTGAGCACAAACAAGCAGAAATGGATTCATCTGCAGTGTTTTTGTTATCTACTGTCAGCTCCTAGCTAGCGTGAGCTCCTGAACTTAATGCTGAGATCAAGGTGTGGAGTCATTTTTCAGTCTGTCACTCTTGTCATTGGACTCTCTAGGTCCGCTACAAGTTAGCTACAGTCAGCTAAGGTTATCCATTCTGAAGTATCACAGTAAAGTGAGAGCTAAACAATTTAAGCAACTTTTTTAGCCAAAGAAAACCAGAATGTATGCAGGTAAATACAATGCGTATCTGCCAAAATGGCGCCCCCGTCCCAACATCCACCAAAGCATGATGTACCTTCACATTCTCTATATGTATAGCTATTTATATTTGTATTACTTTATCCTGAATATATATTTTCTGTTACTGTTTGAAAGTACGCCAGATTCTCAACATATACCTAGTGAGTCCCAGTTTCATGTGAACAGCTGAAATCACCCCTGCAAGGAAGGCCAGCTCTAAATGAGGTTTTTTTTCTCTTAATGAAGGTCAGGAGAGAGTCACATCTTTCCTTTTGTGATAATTTATCCGTATCTCCTGTTATCTCTGTTTTGCCCCTTTAATCCTAATTGTATTGTATAATTGTGTGCTGTGGACCTTATGGTTGTTGAAGGTTCACCCCATCCTTTCATTTTTACCTGATGCCTTGAACCTTTTTTATTTCTTTTTCCTGCTCTGCAATGTGCTATTCAGTGAGAGACTAACCTATGTTTAGTCATTTGAAATAGCATTTGATTTCATGTTAACTCTCTTACTGAGAACTATAAAGATATGATAGATATGTATATTTTCTGTAATGTATACTCTATGTTGGCAGTACATCTCACATACCACTCATTGATGTTCTGATTGCTTCTTTCTCAGTGTCAGTGAATGGTACTATTTCCATATTGGTGAAAGAAATCCACTCTGAATTTAACATTGCAGGTATAATTATCATCTATTTATAGGCTCTACTTTGTTGTACCATTTCCAAGACAAACACAGTAACATACGTTTAAACTGTGGATAAATGGCTTGACCATGAACACCCAGGATTTTACTGTAACATGTGAAGATGAGAAAGAGACAGAGTGGGGAATATCTTCTGTACACATGGTTTAAAGGAGATTAAGTTCCATACTGTAGCTGTTAAATGGCTCCATTTTCTAGTTTAACTTGTTTTGTACAAGAATCTGAGCAGTGCCATGTGAGGGTTTGGTAACCTGATTGCACCTCTATGATAACTGAGTATGTGAATTGCAAGGAATGTTTGTGTATTCTTTTGTGCAGAGCAAACAGAAAAAAAGAATTTGTGGTGATACAAGTGAACACTGTGTGTGTGTGTGTGTGTGTGTGTGTGTGTGGGGGGGGGGTATTATAGGACTCAATGTCCTTATGGGGACAAAAAGGCCCCAAAACCTAAAACTTTACATTTTTAGATTAACAACTCAGTGTGTAAGGTTGGGCAGTGGTTATATTTCAGGGTTAGGGGAAGTCTCCAAGAAGTGAGTGTCAGTCAGTGTCCCCTGAACTGATGGAAACACAATGGTGTGTGTGTGTGTATGTACTTGTATGGCCAGCAAACTGATTTATTTGTGGATTTATTAAAGCAAACCCATATATAGTACCACCTAATTACTGGCACCCTGTTAGTATAGCTGTCCTTCAACCAGAAGGCACAATTCTTTACACATACGAGTTTGTTGTTGCTTTTACATTTTACTCACCTTGTATCCCGTTTCGTATTCCTCATCTAACTATATATCTATCAATGTACAGTTCTTCTTGTGAGCAATAATTAGAAGCAAGAGTATAACAGAAATACTTTATGCTGACAAGGCCCTGGCTAAATTACAACAATAGCATAAAATGTGTTTGTGGTGTCACAGTACCATTTACTTATTCACATTATTAAAATGTTATACTATAAGATAGTTATATTTAGTTATTCATTTGTTCCTAGTGAGGTTTAACAGATTTCCTGCACACAGTGAAAATGTTTGAAAAGATTCTGATGACACACACACACACAAAGAAAAGAATAAAAGTTAGGAAAGTTGTTGGCCATGTGATTGCCTAGGTTTCTGATATTTTATTTTTACAGACAACCATGACTAAATAGGATGGAAACACAATAAAAGGCATTTAAATGTCAACCCTAGCTTTTAGGAGTTTTGAGGGAGGACGCCACTGTGCAGTAAAGAAAACCACTTACCGCTTCAGCACCATGGACAGTTACGGAAAGGGAGCTTACCTCAGCGCTCTCCACGGGGGCCCAGGCTGGCTAATAGGCTCTGTGCGTGTGTCAGGCCGCTGCCCATTCACTTTTTAAGGCGAGATGGATGGACATGTGTCCTTAGATAATCCTAGTTGTGTGTGTGTGTTCTTGTACTTTCTATATAATGAGGACCAGAAAAGGGTTTTTTTGACACAGAGTGAGGACATTTTGGCCGGTCCTCACTTTCTGAAGCAGCTTTTTGAAGGTTAAGACTTGTCTTTAAGGATCAGGTGAGAATTAGGTTTGGGTTAGGATTCGGCATTTAGCTGTGATGTTTAAGGTTAGGATAGGGTGCTAGGGAACGCATTATGTCAGCGAGTGTCCTCACAAAGATAGCAGCACAAGTGTTCTGTGTGCGCGCGCGTGTGTGGGTGCATACGACAGTGCATGTCTGTGATTATATCCAATGCACTATTAGAAGTCACTGTAATTGTAACAGGTGCCGATAAATGTAGGCCACTGTTAATATTGTAGTGTTATAATGAATCATGAACAGGAACAGTTGGGACTGAACCTTTGTTTTCACTTTAAAGCTTTTCTAAACTAAAATCTGAGAGAGACAAATGCCATGTTCTTATTTTTCACTTTTTCTTTTCTTTTTTATCTTTTAGTTTATGCTTTGCCAAATCGAATCTGTTTACATTTCCAGATGCCTGAAGTTTGGAAATGGGAAGACGTTTGTTCATGGTGACGCGCGCCCAGGTAGAAAACCACAACTTTTTACATACAGCCTGCATTTTAACGGTTTGTATCTCAGACAATACACTGTCAATTATTGTATTTGAGAAAGAAATGATCGCTTCAACCCCTAGCAAATCAAAGCGCATTTCTCAATATGCCGATCAGTTGTCGAGGGAACTTTCCAGCGTGCATTTGTTAGACAATTACTCGGTTTCTGAATAAGAGATGTAGCTGACTTCTCCCTGGTGAACAGCAGGCTCAGCCCCTAAAATAATTTCCGGTTATCTAATTCATTGATCTCAAAATGAAGCCTAAGCTACGGAGGGTACATCAACGCTACATGTGAAATGACATCATGCTGTTCAGTGAGAAATAGCATAACACAATTACAATTTCTAAATGTGCCAAAATATACGGTCCAAACATGCAGGATACTACCTCACTGCAGATGAACACAGTCTGCCCATAGAGAGGAGCTTCGTCTTTTTGCAAGCATCCGACCGGAGCTCGTAGCCCACTGGAAAAACAGAGGCTCGTCCTCAGCTGTGGGCTGCACTGTTCTGTAGACAGGGGCGAGGAGGATCTTTCTCCCAAAAAGGAGATTTTTGTATCGATAATTTCAGGGTTTGTAGAGAAAGATTTGATGGAAATCTTGTTACAAGCTGCAGATCGACGCATGCGTGTGTGAGGAGACAGGGAGTGGAGAGAGAGCGTGAGAGAGACAGACGGTGCTGAAATATGGAAATAGAGCAGTCAGAAAAATAAATTCCATTTGCTCTACTTTGGCCACAACAATTTTGTGCGTTTCTCCTGCAAAAATAGGCCTAGTATTTTTGTCGGCTATAAAATAATATCTTAATTTGAGTTGCCTATGTGTAGGCTATAAATGACATTTCTAATAGCATTTTATTTATCTTATTTGTTTGTCATGCTGTCGTATTAGATACAGTCAATGTGATGTGGAAACAGAAGAAACTAAAATAATCTTTGAAGATGCGTGTGTAAGCTATTTGTGTGACACACACACACACACACACACACACACACACATAAAGATGAGGAAATGATTGCAATAGGATGTGGCGCACATATATTCTAAAGACTGCCTTAAATAAATCAGCTTGGGGTGTAACTAGGCAAACGACTCTTTGGCTTGTGTCTCCAATCATATCATTTTGACGGTGCGGGGGAAAAACCCTTCAGCTGTCTGCCTTTCGTTTAATAATCACAGCTGAAGGAATCATATATCAGGCACGTTAGCCCGAGGGCTATTAGGCAATGGTCCTCACTGAAATTTGCATTTTAAAACGATCAGTCTGTGCCTCCTTAAAACCACGGTGTTAAATGAATGTGAGCTAATGCAACAGTTATACCGTCACAATCACGGTTTTCCAATCGTTTACAGTTGATGTAATATTTTCCTGATGCTTGTAATCAGTCACTATGGCCCATTTGCGCTAAAGGTCCAGTATCAATGCCTATCAAATTGTGTGCGCATGTGTTTATGTCTATGTGCTCGCGCGTCTTTGTTTAGCGGCTCAAGGAATTGTGAGTTTTGCTGGCATCCTAACTGTAGAATGAAATGTTTAGCAAAGAGGGCTGAAATCTGACCTTTCTGACTTTTCTATCTTAATCGCTCCACAGTGTGGTGTGCGGCCTCCCCCAGCACCTAGGAGACACGGGTTCGATCCTTCTGAAGTGTCCTTGAGCAAGACATGGACACCAGGTGCCATGTTGTTGTGCAATCCAACGGAGGAATGGAGCTTTTAAAGAATTAGGGGTTATTCATTATCATTATTAAAATACCTCCCCACTTTTCAAAAGAAAAAGAACTGACACAGATAACTTTGTGAAAGCCTAAACAGGCCTATGTACGTCAGGCTCCCAGACATTTGGAATATAGCTGCGCAGTAAATTGGCTGCACGGTATAGTCACCTCTCTAGACTGAAGTCAGTTTTACCTGGAAAAGAGGTTGAAGGTCTGTGTTTGTTGCGATTCATTACATTAAATGGAGTCGGGAGGGATCCTGACTATTACTCCCTACACACACACACACACACACACACACCCCTCTCTGCTTTATTATATTTACTTCCACTACCGCCCGGTCTTTGTTTATGTTGTAATGTACATATATATTTTGGTGGAGGTATTAGAGCAGCCGGTCTCCGTGCTGATTGGGCGCTCAGGTTGGTAAGTGAACGCCCTGCAGATTATGTCAGATTGCGTGCAGAAACCAAACCAGCCCAGCCTTTGAACTTCACCGCTTCTGCCTCACATTGCCAAGCCAGGTGATGGACGACAAACCTCAGAGAGAGAGAGAGAGAGAGAGAGAGAGAGAGAGTGACAGAAAAATAATACTGAACACTTTTATGACTCCAGACTGACTGCGGAACATTGCATTCACCTTTGTGGATTTTTTTTTTACGTGTGTGCATCTTGCATGTATTTTGTCCTGCATTGCCTACCGCAGGTCTGAAAGAGAGTTGTTACCGGACTTATCCCAACGTACGTGTTTTACGTCAGTGTTTTAGCACGGAAGAAACAAACCGGGCGCTGGATTTTTATTTTTATTTTATTCTACTTTTGGTGTTTTCCAGAACATCCCAGACGTGGCATGACTGGTATCTGGCACCTCGACAGGTGAACAGTTTCCTTTCCTTAACATTAAGAACTTTTCCTCGTCATTAACATCGGGGATAAAAAAGAAAGCACGAGATTTAAAGATGTCCAAGCCTGCTGATCATATCAAGAGACCCATGAACGCGTTCATGGTTTGGTCTCGGGGCCAGAGGAGGAAAATGGCACAGGAGAATCCCAAAATGCACAACTCGGAGATCAGCAAGAGACTGGGCGCCGAGTGGAAGCTGCTCTCCGAGTCTGAGAAGAGACCTTACATTGACGAGGCCAAGAGGCTGCGGGCTCAGCACATGAAGGAGCACCCCGACTACAAGTACAGACCCAGGCGCAAACCCAAAAACCTGCTGAAGAAGGACAGGTACGTTTTCCCTTTGCCTTACCTTGGGGACACCGATCATTTGAAGGGACTTCCCGTGTCGGCCGCGGACTCTCTTTTGGGCTCTTCGGAGAAAGCCAGAGCGTTTCTGCCGCCGACATCCGCTCCCTACTCCTTCCTCGACCCGAGTCAGTTCAGCTCCAGCGCCATCCAGAAGATGACAGAGATGCCCCACACGTTGAGCACCAGCACTTTGCCGTACGCGTCCTCGTTGGGATACCAGAACGGGGCGTTCGGCACCCTTGGGTGCCCCAGTCAGCACACCCACACCCACCCGTCGCCCACAAATCCGGGCTATGTCGTCCCGTGTAACTGCACAGCCTGGTCAGCGTCAAGTTTACAGCCCCCGGTGGCCTACATACTTTTTCCAGGTATGACCAAGACTGGGATAGACCCATATTCATCCGCACACGCCACTGCCATGTAACCCTCAAGACTCTTGTCCTCTTTTTAATTCACTTGAATACTGAAATGCATGTAAATATATTATGGACAACGCGCCGCATTAAATGGCATGAACAGTATTAACTGCCTTGGACTTGTTATGGCAAAGAAAAAAAAAAAAAAAGAAAAACAAACTTTTCCAGAAATCCAACAAGTTTCTGACATGAACCGAGGAGCTGGGATCTGGTGTAATGGACGGTCCCCTGTGAACTGTAAGAAATGTAAATGTTATAACGTTTATGGCAACCAGAAAAGGGAGGCCTTTAACTTTATTTATTGTGTACATTTCAATGCATATATGCCGATTTGTGTTGGTTATTGATAGGCTACTGTTTTTTTATTTTGAAAAATTGGCTCGCACAATTAGCACTCTTATTTCCTGTATAAGCCTAAGTAGTCTACATTTTGGCACTGGTAATTTTATCATGTTCTGGATAGGGTCAAAATCAGGACCAGAGGCTGGATTATATACGGGTTATATTGTTTATATCAATCAAAAACTGGCACATAAACTAGACGTTCTAATTAAGATGACAAGAAAAAAATCATTTAGGTCCAAATGTTTTATTTTGCATTTTACCTGTGGTTCAGTGCCAAACACGCGCCATTTTTTTCTTTTTGTTGGCTTTGTTTTTAAGGATAACTTCTATTTGGTTTCAAGGAGTTATATGTGTATTTTCTATCTAAGATGGTAATTTAAAACCTGTCATGTTATGGAAAGGATAATGTATCTAGAAGGTTGATACCTCCTGCTCTTTGTTCAGTTGCTGAGCAAAGACATTTCGAATAAAGACAATCTGTCTTCAATGATATCAATCTCCTGTATTTGTAGGTTATTGGGTACAAAGATAATGTATTAGGTGTTCAAACCGGCAGAAAAAAGCCTAAATAATACATTTTAAATAGTTACAAAATGTAATAAATAAACAACTACTTAAAATATTATTCAAAGATTAAAATGGAAACAGTATTAATAGAGCGAAAAACTTTTTAGGTAAAACGATTTTGAGATTTTTTTTTCCTGAAGTGTTAGACTGAAACTTGACCCCAAACTAATCAATACTGGTGATCGGCTATAGACTGGAAACCAAGTCTCCTCGCAGCAGAACAACAACAGCAGGCGAATCAGTCCTCTTCTCTCAGCTCGATCCTTCCTCTCGTGTGTGGCTCTGGTTTTGAAGCTGTCAAACTCCTCTGATCGTTTCCACAACAAGCCTTAATTACCTGCACATTTGGCTGCTGCTTCTCGTGCCATGATTTGAAACAGGTTTCAGGCGTGTACAGCGCGGTGAAGCTGTTTTTATGACACTGGGATGAACTGGTTGTGATCTTTTGATGTTTGACAGAGGCCTCCCTGGAGGGATTCCGCCCGTCCGACTTGTCTGACTGCTTAATCACTTCAAGGATGGAGCCTGCTGCTTAATTATAGGCTCAGCTAATGAAACAAAGCGAATGTGATTTCTCCAAGTCTTTTTTTTTTTACTACTAGTGCGGTTGAACTATCTCAGCCAATGTGATTGCTTGTCAAAAAGGAAGGTGCTGCAGCACAGCCCCGCTAAAGTCTTCTCCCCTCCGGCCGTCCACACGTGTTCTAACCTGTCCCAGCGTGAGAAGAGATCTGACTCTCATTAAAACAAAACAACCCCCAAAACAGGCTGAATTAAATAGGAGCATTTAAAGATATCAACATGATTCCAGCCCAGTTTTCTCGTGCACCCTGGTAATGGAGAACAGGATTTGCGCACCGCGGTGTAGCCTCATATTAAACGGGTGTAGTGTTAATTAAAAATTTCATTTCACATCCAAATTGTTTACTTATCTGCCAGGAACATATGCTAAGAGAAGTTGAGATTCACGATTCTGCACTATTGCCCAAGGTGCAATTCAATCCTGGGGAGGGAGGAGGGGGGCAGATTTTTATGACAGACTTAGTCCTTATCTAGAGCTGTAAATTGGAGTGATACTTCATTGAACCGAATGTGAAGTTTTACATCAAACCCCTAAAGCATCTCAGTTCAACTTTGAAATTAGACAATTCTAATTACTTTCAGGAGAAGCTGCAGACATGCATATATTTTTTCATGATGAAAATGAGGCTATTACTCTTATATACAATAAGAATGCTTTTGTTTTAAACCGCTGCTTTTGTATCTTATTCACTTTATTAAACTATAACTAGGCCTATAATTATCCAACTTAGTCATGGAAATTGACCGTGGTCACAACGTCCTGGAATAAATAATTCTAATAATAAACGACATCTGAGAGGTATAATGGGAGGGAAATTATGTTTTGAAATTATAAGGAGGGTTGGTTTTAAATCTCTCTTTAAGTCAGCCCCCCCACCCCCCCACCCCCTTTGACGTTTTTATTGGAGCACAACAGAAAGAATTCAATCTGCCTTATCTCTCCAGGACTCCTTTTCTAACGCGAGATCAGAGAAAAAGGAGAGGATAATTGTTCTTTATTTTATTTAATTTAACGCGACAGCCAGCGCTTTCAGGTCATTTATATGCTCCATTTAGTGATAAAAGTCAAGGAGGAGGGGGACAACGAGGAAAGCAGGCGCTGGTACTTTTCCCCTCCACAATACCTCAAGTCCAAAACATGTAAAACAATTGGTTTGGGGTGGGGTGGGGGGGCGTTTTTAATTAAAAGCCACAGGGTCATTTACATTATTGTCTTTTAATGTTACCCTGAAATCATCTGCAGTAAATGGAGTTTGATAAGTGGCTGTTGAGAATGTGCTTTTGTATTTAGGCGAACTAATTTCCTAAATCAAAAGAAGAAAAAAGTACCCCGGAGGAGTGTGGGAAAAAAGTCCCTGATGATGATGATGATGATGATGATGATGATGATGATGATGATGACAGTGTCATTGCTGTTGCTCCTCCCGATGATGAAATGCCACATACAGGCTTCCTTATCAAAGATGCGTTCATTTTGGCTCATGTCAACGCGAGATTTGACACAATCGCCTATATGGAGAATTTTTTTTTATTATTATTTTTTAGGAAAAGGCGATAAAAACTGATCTCATTTCAGCATATTAAATATTGTCTCCGAAACACTAACAAAAATCATCACTGGTTAAATCCCAGTCTATCTAAAATTGAATCTGGGATACCATTTTGACGGGAGAAAGAGTAAAACCGTACAGTTGTGCTGTTTGAAGACGTGGGTGCTTGAATTTGGGGGTCCCTGAATTCTCATTTGAAAGAAATGAAATTGTGAACGAGATGATAAAGAAAAAAGGGAACAGATGAGCTGAGAGAAAAGGAATCCTACCACGGCTGTTTCATGTGCTGTGCCAGCCGGAAAAGTGATTTACACCAAGACTTTATTGGCCCCGACAGATATAAAGACAGCGCATGTGTGTTTTATTTATCGGACACACACACGCGCGCGCATATGGTCCCATATGTGGTTAATTCTCAGGAGTTCATCGTTTTCAGATATGGAAAGCATCGCCGGGATGCAGACATACGATTACATGCCTCACTTGGAACCCGCGTCCTGCATCCACCAGGTTCATTTCCTGCACCGGACAGCGAGCCACCGAAGCCAAGTCTGGCTTGGCTTTGAACAGTGCTCGCAGTCTTAACTTTTTATTTGCTAATAATCATCTTTTTTTTTGGAATTTGGCAGCTAAGCTTCCCTGCAGCTCCCCAGGCCTGATGCCTGCCGGCCGCAGCAGGATGCTGTGTCAGATTACTCATGCTAATATTCACATTAGCTTTAAAGGTGCCGAGATTAATCTCACGTCTCGCACACTCCTCAAACATTTAAAACATTTAATTTTCTTAAAATTCAAATCAAGTAAATATAGTGCTACATATTAGAATTATTTATTTTGTAATCACGTATCATTTGAGACGAATGTTAAATATAATTTAATCCTCTCCATCCCCGGATGAACAGATAAAGAACAGGCTACTGTAATTCTTATTTTGTTATTTAGTCATATTATTGTAAAAGCCTTTATATTTTGCCACATGCAGTATTTTTAAATTACATTCTCAGTGAAGCCAATAGTTTACACTGGCCACTGACGACCTTCATCTTACTCACAACTTCAGGTTTCAGGTTAAAAAAGAAGCCACATCAAACCCATATCACCTCAGTAGCTCTTAGTAGAAGAATCATAACGAAGTGGTCTGGGCCTTTTTTATCGTATGACCCCTAAAAATGAACTAGTGTCCACATGTGACACCTATCACTCAGTGCAAATGACAATCAACTATGTGCAGTGGCTCTCCAAAGACTGGTTTTATCTTCTCAGGCCCTTTTATGTCAATGTTTTAGAGCTGCAAAGATGTAATATTATCGACTAAGAGCAGGTAAAAGAAAAGGAAAAAAAATCATAAATTTGTGTAGCAGGATTATGTATGTTTTTGTTTCTTGTCCTGTTTAATGTGCCAGATTTCAGGGTCTTAACCTAAAGGCTGGAAACCAGTGTTCCAAACTAACCGCTAAATGTTTCAGATATTTAGGGAATAACAACATTTTCCCAGCAATCTCTCATCATGCAGCCCTACTTTTTACTTGTAGTTTTTTTAATAGAGGATATTTCAGCCCCAGAAGCCGCTGATTCAGGCTACTACACTTGTGATCAGCAGCATATAACTTCCCTGCATCGAACCATGTGGATGACTGAGTTTATTTATTTTGTTCCACATGCTTTGTGGGTTGCCAAGCTGTTGTTACATGCATAAGACTGCTGTTGCATTTGTGCATCACTGATATTTAAAAAAAATCACTGCAACATGCTCAGCATGGCTAAGAGGTGTGGTCAGCGATTCTTAAAATGAAACAGCTTATTGTTTGAGTTAAAGTTCTACCCTTGTAATGAGCTTCTCATCAGCGTGTACAGTATTTGTTTTGTGATACTGGATACAAACATCAGTTCTGCAGGCCTGCACACATTCAGTATAACTCTGAGTTTATATTATCTTCCATTTTTTATGCCAAATCCATTTATACTTAGTAAAAGACTAATGATGAAAAGTTGGCCTAGAATGCAAACGGATACAAAATGTGTCCATTAAAGGAAATACATTGTACATAAGCTCTTTTTATTTGAGAAGTTTAAGGTTGCAATCTATAGAAGATTTCATATGACCACAGACCTTTATCGCTTTATACATTCCTGCATTGTCTCAGAACTTTCTTTGCATTGATTTGTTTTCTCTATATTATCAACTACATTTGGGATATTTTAAAATATTTGGGGTGATTACTTCATCGAGCTGATACATGATTTATGTGTGTAGCTGGCGGAGCTGTGGAGAGTTTCGCAAACCTGGCATTCGCAGTAGTAGCCCTGTGAACTCTGGGAAGCTTATTGAGCCTTTGTTCAGCGTGAACTCGCACTCACACGACTTTTTCATTACAGGTTAATTCTTAACTAAAAGATCTCTGGAGCAAATCATGGCAAAACTAAATGATGTATTACACAACAGGACAATTCCAGCTCAAAATGAAACACCACACGATGGCGTGGTGAATAAAAGATGGATACAATCAGAGCTATCAAGAATGAATGCCACTATTTACTGTACATGCAAGGCTGCTGAAGTTTGTACACTTACATCATTTTACAAGATACATCAAGGTCATGGCCTTGGTTATATTTCTGAGGGGTTTTAATGACTTAAAGAGGAACTAACATATCCCACGATTGTTCATATATTAGTCATGTTGGAGTTTTTAAGGCGGATTCTGTTTTTTTTTTTGA